GACGTGCATAGGAAGAATGCATTTAGTTAGTCTAACTGAAATAGTAGTTGTAGTGCTCATGAGCAACAATTTAGAGGCAGTGCACGTTCGTTCAATCGTGCACCAAAGCCGTCGCTTGATCATTTTTAATACATTATCAGCCTTGAAAAGGGAAAAAGGTGATCCCGGGCTTTTTTCGCATAGATATTTCGGTAGGACTTGCTTGTCTGGAGTGTCGATACTTATCGATGAATTTCTCCGGATAGAAGCCTCTAATTCCGTTTAACCACGTGGCAGCCTAAATTCGGTTACGATCAAAATCTTCATAAGGGGTAAACTGTCAAATTCTGTAAAATCCTCCCTCTCAGACTAAAGCCTATAATTCGACGCAACGACCATCTGACAGTTCGACAGTCGATTTTGACGATGTCCACCGTATGTTTCACAACAAAGTGGTGCAGGAATGGCGAATTGCGCCATCCACAGGGAGAATGGATAACATACCGGCGGCTGGAGTGGGGAGGCGGACGAAGTCTGCTTCATCGCACAACAACACACTGTAAGTTCCTCTTTTTCAGCCAATAATTTAGCGACTCGGATGGTTGCCCCCAAGTGCGAGTCCAAAATGTTGAACGAATATGCTGCACGTTTTAACGGCTGACGCTTTCTACCCTCACAGTAACTGCCTGAAGGAAATTCATGGACCCGTAGAAACACAGGATATACTGGATATCCAGATATTTATCCTGATTTGGCCGAACGTGCTAGACTGCGGCATTTTTCTCGCTCTGAAAAACGTCAGGGAAATAACTTGCTTTTAGGAAATGATTACTCATTTGACCTAGAACCTTGAAGTGAGTGTAAATATGCTGGAAATAGATGTGCATATTGTCATAACTCTTCATCCGCTTTGTCCACAGGAGTTAGGGATTATACTGCCATTTTCTGCAGCACAACGGCACTGGCCGGCTAACGTAGAAGCAGAAACGATGGGTTCCCTGGGGCTACTGGGCTCCCCAAAATTGATAATCTACCTTTAGAAAGCAAGTTTACCAATTAAACCTAGGATAACCGAGAAGTCATAAGATTTATCACTTTAAGCTCCCTTCATTTAAAGTTTACAGGACATTCATAAAGATGCACTGGAAAGCTTTAGCGAATAAGTCACGTTGGACAAGAAGTACAAGACATTTGCAGACGCACTTATCAAAACTTTCTTCAATATAATTATGAGCATCAGCATCTGGTTATCAGACGCATGAATATGAACCACATAGGTAGCATTCCGCAATAAGCTACGTCAAAATTGTGCAGTCTATTTCCGTAACGTCAGCGTTATCATTATCAACCACTCGACCGCCACAAGCGATAGGACTCGCCGCTGTTTCGGTGAGGGTGCAGTCACCACTTGCGCGTGAATTTGTTCAGGACGAATCGGACTTTCACAGTATCTACCTCGCTCTCTCCTAGCAAACCGGCTGTGTTCAGACAGCAAGACAAAGTTTAGACGACTGGAGACGAGCCACAGCATAACGGTCCAGAACATTAAACGTATATCAAGCTTAATGTAGGGAGTTTTCGAACTTACTTAAGTATGCATTAGGGCCGTATTAAGAAGCATAAACTGCAGCCAGAGCCTCGGTCTTACGTATAACTGGGTTACTCGATTATCTGACAACTTTCTGACCCATCTACCCCTGCCTGTCGGATAATTAGTATTCAGATTAGAGGCAGTGGCTGAAGTGGTGTGAAAGCCTTCGTCCAACACATAACACCATAGCCGCTGCGACCACCACCACCACCACAGAATACACATTTACCTCCCTTACGCTGCTTATTTGGACTGCTTTTCCGTTTCAGCGTCTAGTGGAAGAATGCAAGTTTAAGAACTGTTGTGCAGGCCAACAAAAATGTCTTAAGAGCCGGCTTTATATGGTGCATGAAGTGAATTCGCTAAAAGAAAAGAAAAAACTCACTACTGTCCCCTTCGTCTTCTTAGGGTGGAATTATCTGCCGTACAACCCACACCTCAGGATGCATGGTGATTTTGGCGTACCTACCTTTCGAAACAGCCACGAGCATACGGATTAATAAAGGCCGTCAGAGCGTCAGCACAAAGGCAGAAACTAAACCAAAACTCTTCCTACAGAGTTTTCTCTAGCAAGTGAACATGCAAGCTATAGGGGCATCAAGAAGAAAAAAACGGACAAGGAAGAAGACGTGTCGAGCACCGGATCAATTGGTTTATTGTCCTGAGATTTCGAACTCTTACAGGGGTCCATCTTCAGAGGTGAGAAGTAGCAACCAAAAGGAGGATAATTATAGTGGCCATAGGCCAATCAACTGTCAGAAGTCATCAGATTGTCAAGGGGTTAGAAACA